AAGAGAAAAAATGCCAAGTTTATGGCCAGCTTAAAACTTTTGACAGGTAGTGTATAACAGTATGAGGTTATAGCTATACAGTTAGTTACACATCTGCTTCCTTTAAAGTGTGCATACAAATACAGGCAAGCACATTGTTTTAATATAGAAATATTCCTTCCAGTGATTTAGTAACAGTATCATCTGTTCCCAAACATAATGCAGCATGTACAAATTACATTTGTTTTCTTAGGGCAAGTAAAACCAAGTAGTAGATTATTTTCTTTTTCTATTGTGCTGAATCCCTGCAACTGAACTAGCAAAATCTAATTATGGTGTAGTCACTTGCGCTATGATTAAGCACTTGTGTGTAAACCATTAAATACTTAGTGGTTCCTGGTTTTAGCTGCTATTTAAAGAAGAACTCCAGGAGTAGGGCAGACAGGCAACAATACATTATGCCTGAATAATGGCCATTAATAGTAATAATCTGCATTATACTTACCTCTATGCTGCCCATCCACAGATCAAGTGCCCGAGCTATCACATTTGCTCCGGCTGTGCACACTACAGCTGGCCAGTATTAGTTGTCTGTTCTAGCGATGTCTATGTGGATTTTCAGGACAACTAGCATGTCTGCAGGTCAAAGTGCAGGAGCTAAACAATGCTGGCCAGGCAGCATGAAGGATGAAGATCTCTGACAATCCCCAGCAAATTGCTGTTACTTGTTAGCTGCAGTGCAGTGCGTTTTTGATGCGTTTTGGACGCGTTTGCGTTTCCTGACCGTTTCCTGACCGTACAAAATGTGACATGCAGTATTTTTCTGTCGTAACCTGAACGGACTGCGGACGTGAGAACTGTAGCCCATAAAACACATAGGGATACATTTTGAGTGCAGCAGAGTACGGATCCGGTCAGCACACAAAACGGACGTCGTGTGAACAGGCCCTTAAAGAAATCCTGTCACCACTTAAATGTTATTACATAGGGGGCTTGTGAGCCCCCCATGTGACAGCAATAATGTTAGGTTTAAAAAAAAAAATAAAGTTATATAAAATACATTTAAAAACACGCAATACTAACTCAAATATGCGTTGGGAGCGCCTAAGTGTGAAAACGACAACTGTGCCACACATGTTAGGTATCTCCGCATATGCCAGAGTGAGAACAATAATTCAAGGGCCAATATTCATGGTTAACTCTAAAGTGATGTTTAGAGTTCAGAGCATTGTCTTATACTGTGCAGTGTCAGTATATAGTCAGGTTTACTGTCTTCTACTGTTTAGACTAAGGGCCTGTTCACACGTTGTCCGTTTTCTGTGCTGACCTGATCCGTACGCTCCTACACTAAATATGCATCCCAATGTATCCCTATGTGTTTTATGTGCTACAGTTCTCACGTCTGCAGTCCGCTCAGGTTACGACAGAAAAATACTGGATGTCACATTTTGTACGGCCAGGAAACGGTCCGGAAACGCGTCAAAAACGCACTGCACTGCAGCTAACATACATTTTTTTTTTTTTTAACTGGAACGCATCAAAAACGCATCAAAAACACGGCAAAACACACTCATGTGAACAGGCCCTAAGGCAAAGCTGTGTGTATTGGCTTAGATAGACATGATGTCTGCAAAATCTCAATCACTTGCTGTGGATGTTACTGCAGTCATGTACCGGTCCCATCTTACTCCTCCCACAGGCCAGTCCATAGAAGGATGGAAAAGGAGAATGCATGGTCATGGCATCTCTTTTTTCTATCCGTTATGCATCAAAGCCCTGTATCTTAGGGAAGCAGATGTGCTGCATTTAAAGTGGAACGCCAGGATTTTTTTTAATGCTACCTTGGATCTGTAAAAATAAAAAAAACTGCCTTTGCTGCTTTATCCCCTATCCATCCAGAGACGTTACTGACAGTATTTCTTCCTAGCCACTAGTTGCCACCAGTCGTCTGGGGTGAATGAAGGCCAGCATCATCAAACCTACTTGCTTTGAGCCCAGGCTGTCATGGACCCATCCCGTAGACAACATACAACCTGGGCTCAGGGCCGGCCTTAGGCCTTTAGGCGCCCTGTGCGAGAAAGCTTTACAGCGCCCCTCAGTGGCCACACCCTTTAGTGGCCACACCCATTTTCCCCAATATCCGCACCATTTAAAGACTCCTATTTTGTTAAGCCGCAAAGAAACATATTAAAAAGTATAATAACAATAAAACTTTTATTCAAAAGGTATTAAACTTGTAGGCACAATAGAAGTATTCTTATCAAATAAAACAACAGAAGGGAAACAATAAATGTCAAACTACAATAGAGTCTATAAAAATAAAGTGTCAGGATGTCATGCAGACCCCTTTTTTTTCAAGTAAGTGCATCTAGAAAACTAAAACTAAAAAACAGAACACAGACCCCGGGCTACATGTAAATGAATGAATTACTATATGTCCGAATATACGAGAAATGTATTCAGACACATAATAATAATTTGTTTGAGAATGTGCGGCGGCCATGTTGGCCACCAGCGTGTTCTGTGAATGCGTACCACCATCTTGGAGGCAGGGAGCATGACGTTACATGACGCCATGCATGCGTGGCGTCAGGTGACCTCACACGCCGATATTGGCCCCACCATCTTGGTGTATACCTAGATATACACCAAAATGGCGGCGCCCAACACGTGCGGTGTTATATGACGTCATGCGCCCTGCC